GGTTTTCAAGACCATGAGCATGGAGGAACAAAGGACAATGATTCCTCCCCGCAACCCTCAGAGATGGGAAACAAGCCCAGCAAGCCCTCCAGGTATGGAGCGGAAGCCTGGCCGACTCCTTGAGTTGAGGACACAGAACTGAGTCTGGGGAGATCAGGACAGCTACACTTCCTAGGACTGTGTTGAGGAGAGGAGAGGTACCAGAGAGTCCTGGAGACTGCACAGGGAATTGACGAGTAAGTGCATGCGGGAACCACCCAGAGCTGGAACAAAACCTGCAACCACCATCAGAGGCACCCATGTTTGGAACTCACATAGGGCAAGGAACAGGGCTGTCCGCACGGGCCGGTCTGGAAAAGCAGAGGAACTCAAGACCAGCTTGCCTCGGCTGTAAGGAATAATTTGTCCTGGACTGACCACTGCTCCAGACCCATCAAATCATAAAGCTATACTCAAAAGGAAAAAAAAATCAATCAATAGAAATAGCTCCAGCAATGACAAAGCAACTAAAAGAGTTACAGTAACTACTGTCACTTAGTTATTTCACGTGTTGAAGAAGGTAGAGGACTGATGTGAAGCAGACACATGAAAGATACTTAATTAAGAAAAAGACCCATATGGTACTTTTAGAGACGAAAACCTCAACATCTAAAATGAAAAATATACTAAGTGGAACAAGAGCTGATTAGACACTGCAGAAGAAAAGGTTAGCATGAAGACAGAGCAGCAGCAATTACCCAAATGAAATGCCAAGAAAAAGGACTTAATAAAAAAAAAACAGATTATCAGTGAGTTATGGAACTTCAAGTAGCATGCATATATATACTTAGAGTCCCCAGAAGAGGGAGCAGAAGAAAAAACATCTGAGGAAATAATGACCAAAAATGTTCTAAATCAGGCCACAAGCGGTGGCTCATGCCTATAATCCCAGCACTTTGGGATCACTTGAGGCCAGGAGTTTGAGACCAGCCTGGCCAACATGGCAAAACCGCATTTCTACTCAAAATACAAAAATTAGCCGGGTATGATAGTGTGGGTATAATTCCAGCTACACAGGAGGCTGAAGCACAAGAATTGCTTGAACTCAGGAGGTGGAGGTTGTGGTGAGACGAGATTGCACCACTGCACTCCAGCCTGAGTTACAGAGTAACACCCTGTCTCAAAAAAGAAAAATGTTGTAAATTAGATCAAAACTATAATCCAAGCAGTCTGAATCACGGTGCGACCAAGGGGTGGGTGGTGGGATCTCACCGTGGGTCCAAGCAGCCCTTTCTCTGCCTTGCTCGCTTGAGCTTCAGCAGAATTCGAAATGGCTGGCTGTCAAGACTGGGAAGGGCTCCAGAAAGGCCAAGACGAAGGCCGTTTCCCGCTCGCAGAGAGCCGGCTTGCAGTTCCCAGTGGGCCATATTCATCGACACCTGAAATCCAGGACCACCTGTCCTGGACATGTGGGCACACTGCCACTGTGTACATGGTGTACATGCGGCCACCCTGGAGTGCCCCACCACAAAGGTATCTGAGCTGGCAGGAAATACATCAAAAGACTTAAAGGTCAAGTGTGTGACTCCTCGTCACTTGCGACTTGCTACTGATGGATTTGAAGAGTTGGAATCTCTCATCAAGGCTACCGCTGCTGGTGGTGGCGTTATTCCACACACCCACGCATCTCTGATGGGGAGAAAGCGTAGCAGAAAACTGTCTAAAGGACGCCTGGACTCCTTGTTCTCTCAGGACTCTGAACACGCTATCAGCTGCCCAGTGCTGCTGATTCCAGTGGACAGCATCTCTGTGAAAAACACAATTTTGCCATTTTGTAATTCTATTTGAGCAAGCTGGAAGTTTAATTAGCTTTCCAATCAACCAGATTTCTGCATTCAAGTGTTAACCATATTTAAGTGTTACTGTGGCTTCAACGAAGCTATTGAATCTGAAGTAGTAGGTTTTGATTGTTTTTAAAAAAACTGTTTGGATTTTAATTGTGATGCAGAAGTTGTAATAGCAAACATCTGATTTTATACAGACATTATTTCCCCTCTGGTGGATAAGCTCAATAAAGGACATATCCCAAAAAATAAATAAAACTATAACCCCAAAATCCCAAGCACAAGAAATACGAAGAAATCTGCACCAAAACATACCATCATCAAACTGTTAAAAACCAATATTAAAAAAAAAAAAACTTAAAATGCAAAGAAAAAAGTCACTTTATATGCAAAATAACAAAAAGAATACTGAAAGATTTATCATGGGAAACAATAGAAGCCAAAAGATGTGAAACATCTTCAAGTTTTAAAAGGAAAAAAAAACTGTCAAACTAGAATTTCTCAATGTACAAAAGCCAAAAGAACTTATCAAACAGACCTGCACCACAAGCAAGGTTACAGAAACCCTCAGTCAGAAGGACATCCAGGTCAGAGGAAAACCTGGATCTGCACAAAGGAAGAGAGAGACAGCAATGGAAATGGCAACTGGGTGGGTCAATATGCGCCATGCCTCACACTTGTCATCCCAGCACTTGAGGAGGCCGAGGCAGGCCTGAGGTCAGGAGTTCAAGACCAGCCTGGCCAACATGGTGAAACCGGTCTCTATTAAAAACACAAAAATTTAGCTGGGCGTGGTGGCGGGTGCCTGTAATCCCAGCTACTTGGGAAGCTGAGGCAGAAGAATCACTTGAACCTGGAAGGTAGAGGTTGCAGTGGGCTGAGATCTCACTACTGCACTCCAGCCTGGGTGACAGAGTTAGACTCCGTCACAAAAGTAAAAGAAAAAAAAAAGACCTATTTTTCTATTTTTAATCTCTCCAAGGCATAACTATTTAAGGCAAAAATATTAACAATGCACTATGGGATTTTAACACATGTAGAAAATGTATAAGATAACAACAAAGGCTGGGAGGGAGGAAAGGAAAGTAAATGATACAAAGTTTACAAAGTTCGAATACCAAGCATCAAGTAACATAATATTACTTGAAGGAAGAATATGGTAAGTTAGATGTACTCCATAAATCCTAAAGCAACAACTCAAATAACATAACAAAGAGTTTCACTTTTAAATCTAATATCTTAAATATTATCAACTTACTCCTTTTTTAAACAGATGATAATAAGACTGAAATAAGAAACAGGGTCTCTATTAGAATGTAATTTTAAGGTAAAAAAGTCTCATTCCAAATGGCCACAAAAGCTATAGCTAACAATAAAAATGTAAAACTTTTATGAAATGAAAGGGCAGAAAGAAAGTCATAAAAAATGGAAAAACATATATACCATGTTCCCTGATTCAAGTTGACTCATGATTAAAGTTCTTCTCAAATGAATTAACAACTTATTCAAGGCAATCCTCATCAAAATGCTTCCAACCTTCTCTTTTTCAATGGATATCCCATTTATCTCCTGCAGTGTAACAAGCCACTCCACACTATAGTGATTTAAAACTTTCTTTTGCTCACGGATCTACAACCTACAGAGGATATAGTGGGGACCCAGGTCTCTGTTCCACCTGGCGTCAGCGGTATGTGGAGGCTGGAAGCTAAAACACACACAGCAGGACTCAGCTGGGACAGGCTGAACACCTCTGGGTGGCCTTCCTTCCCACGGGGCTGCTCAGCTTCCTCACAGCATGGTGGCTGGGCTCTAAGAACAAGCATCCCGAGAGAATCCAGCAGAAGACATGTTATCTTTTATTACTTCATCTCCAGTATCACAGTGTTGCTTCTGCCCCAGTCAGAGGCTCACCCAGATTCAACTGAAGGAAACACAGGCCCAGCCTTTCAACAGAGGGAAGTCACTGTCGCATAGAGAGGAGAATGTGGGATGGGTATGCTAATACAGCCATCTTCAGAAAATAAATTTGGACACACGACATGTGGAAGGGAAAATGTAGACAGCCACAAGGTTTATTTTAAAAGAAAGATAGATACGTATTATAAAAGTGTAATAATTAAAAGTCTGATTCTGGCACAGGACAGACAAGGATCAATAGAACCACAGTGACCAGAATATTGTGCATACAGGATGCTGGTTTTAAAAAAAGGTGACATAATAAAAAAGAAAAAAAAAAAAGTGACATTCCCAGGAAGTGGAGAAAAGACACACTATTATGAAATGGTGTTAGGCCAATTTGCTATGCATTCAGACAATAAAATTAGACCCTCAACCCCCACATCTCCTACCCACATAAAAATAACTTGAAGCTATACAGGTCCCAATATAAAATATCAGTTACAAAATTATTAAAAGAAAATACAGAAAATCAACTATCTTCAGACAGACAAGGCCTCTGTAAGCAAGATATACTACCCAAAAGCCATTCTGTAAATGACATATTTCAGTCCATAAAAACTGCAATAGTTTTAAATACCTAAGCACCAAATAATACATCAACCACTCATACAAAACAAAAAATACAGGAGATGCAAGAGGAACAGAAACACACCAATAATAGAAGACTTTACCACACCACTGTCAGTTAAGGATAGGCCAAATGGACAAAATTTAAAATACAAATGATCTAAACAACACAAGCAGCAAGATAGGTCTTACAGGTAAATATTTAACATTACAATCTGGAAACAGAGAAAATACATTTTCAAACACTCATGAAATGTCCACAAAAACTGATCACAATAGTCAAATTTATAAAATTTTAAAAATAAGTTTTATAAAGCAGATATAAACACTTTCTGACCACAAAGCAATAAAGCTAGAAATTGCTAAACACAAATTTTTTTAATCTTTTTTTCCCCTGGAAATTAAAAAGCTTTCTGCTAAACAACTATTTAATGAAAGGGAAATAAAAATCAAAAATAAAGAATTTCTGAAAAATGGTAAAACAATGGGATACATTTAAAGTAGTAACCAGAGAAAAATCCATTAACTTTAAAGACCTGTATCAATAAAATTTTAAGAATGAAAGTAAATGCATTTCAAACTCCCAAAAACTAGAAAATGAACAAAGTAAACCATGAGAAAACAAAAAGAAGGAAATAATAAAAACGAAAGTAGAAAATGAGGTAGAAAACAGATAACAAATATTTCAAAACTAACAATAAATCAGATGAATACATTAAAATCCTGGTTCTCTGGTGGTAGGAGGAAATCGAAGTAGCTAATTTAATCAAGGAAGAAAAAGAGGAAGCACAAATGCACAAAATAAGAAATAATGATGGGGGCAGAGCACGGTGGTTCACACCTATAATCCCAGCACTTTGGGAGATCGTCTGAAATCAGGAGTTCGAGACCAGCCTGGCCGAGATGGTGAATTCCCCTCCCTACTAAAAATACAAAAATGAGTCAGACGTGGTGGCAGGCACCTGTAAGCCCAGCTACTGGGAGGCTGAGGCAGGAGAATCACTTGGACCTGGGAGGCAGAGGTTGCAGTGAGCCAAGATTGCGCCACTGCATTCCAGCCTGAGTGACAGAGCAAGATTCAGTCTCCAAAAAATAAAAAAGAAATGATGATGAGAAAATAACTACTGACAGGACATTTTAAAAGTCAAAAAAAAAAAAAAAAAAAAAAAAGTCGGACCACTTTTTATACCTCAATGAAAAGAAATTTTAAAACTTAAATATGTAATTTCCAAGAAAAATGTAGTTTATCAAAATTAACAAACAGCTGAAACAGACCAATTTTCATCAAAGAAATACAAAAAAGTACCTGGCCCAGCTAGTTTCCCAAAATTCCATCAAACCTTAGAGATCAGGTAGCTCCAGTGCTACATAAATTACTTCAGAAACAGAAAGTAAGTGAAAACTTTCAAATTTTTAATGAATTAAGTAGAACATCAATACCCAAACCTCATAAAGAGAGCATAAGGTCGGGCGAGGTGGCTCACGCCTGTAATCCCAGCACTTTTGAAGGCCAAGGCAGGTGGATCACAAGGTCAGGAGTTCGAGACCAGCCTGGCCAATATGGTGAAACCCCATCTCTACTAAAAATACAAAAATTAGCCGGGCATGGTGGCGTGTGCCTGTAGTCCCAGCTACTCAGAGGCTGAGGCAGAAGAATTGCTTGAACCTAGACAGCAGAGGTTGCAGTGAGCTGAGATTGTGCCACTGCACTCCCGCCTGGGCAACAGAG